AGATGTCACAAAAAATAATTAAAAATCATAGGCATGTACAGTTTTTTTTTTATCTACACACCCATTTTTTTTATTTTTTTTTTCGCCTATTTTTAGGCCCCGAAAAAATTCTCGGGGTTTCTTGCCCACAGGTCGGCCGGGGGCGGTCGCCCTCGCGGGCGGGATCCCGGCCGCCTGCGGTAAAAAGGGCCGCGGTCACGACCACGGATGATACATAGGTGGCAGATCAAGGGCTGGCGGTGGTGTCCCTGCAACAGCAACAGATAGCACAGCAACAGTTGACACAATTTAAAGCTGTCTGAAGATGCACATAGCCAGTCTGAGCAACATCCAGCAGTGCAACCTAATAAACAAAGTGCTGGAACAAGCTCAGGCGGAGCAATAACTGGAGCAGCAACAGCTGGCACAACATCAGATGGTGCAGCAACAGCTACTGATGGCACAGCATGAACGACGGCTGGCGGAGCAACTGTCAATACAGCATCTCCCACAACAGCACATACTGCCACAGGTAGGTCTGTATTTCAACGGTTCCGGGAACAATGTAAAAACAAACAAACAAACAAACAAACAAGCAGCTCTGGGGTGTACCAATCCAACTGAGAGGCTAGGCCAGTTGATTCAGACCCTACTTTTCCCATGCGCTAATGGCGAAAAAAATGGGGAGAAGGACGGTCCTGTGGCAGTAATGAGGTGGAGAGCATTCAATTTGATGGTCTTGCCTGGCCCAGCTTCCACTCTGACATTTGGGATCCGAATCTTCCCATCCCGAGGGAGAACAATAATTAAGCAGGCAAAAGAAAGAAGATATCTTCTTCTTCGTTTTTGTTAGTACAAAAAGGAAAACAAAAAAGACAGTGGTAACTTCAGTAGAGTCACAAAAAGGAGTTATAATTGTGACTCTACTGAAGTTACCACTTTTGCGGCAAGTTTTGCCACAATTATAATTAATAAAGGAGTTATAATTGTCACAAAAAGACAGTAATTGTATGGGCAGGCAGCAACAACAAAAAGAAAAAAGAAAGGCTTGTGCTTCACCGGCGGTCTTCGGAGAGTTTTCCTACTTTTTAAATTAAACCACCAGTACCTTTCCCAGCTATCAAGTCCGGCCCTCCAGCTACGGGTAGCCTTGCCGAGCCTAGAGCTACCGATAGCGGGAAAGTCATCTTTTCTAAAAACAAAAGAATGAATTAAAAAAAAAGAAAATAAAAATAAAAACCGACATTCTGAAAACAAAAAACAAAACGGAAAAAGAAAAACAACGAAATGAAATGGTAGAGAGAGAGAGAGAGAGAGAGAGAGAGAGAGAGAGAGAGAGAGAGAGAGAGAGAGAGAGAGAGAGAGAGAGAGAGATGTGTCTCT